TTTTTCAGTGAAAGTGAGACATTCTCATTTGTCAATGATGACATAGGTCGTAAGCAAACAATGAATACATATTATGAGTCAGATCGGTGTTGTCTAAAAACTCAAGAGTGGTAATATTCTATATATTGATCATATCATATTAATAACCAATTCGATTTCCTAGCAGAAAATTATAGATTTACTAACACTGTCAATCTTGTTTCGAAATCATCATCGCTTCATAATGTTTCAAGCATGTCTGATACGGAATTTCATAGATTTTGTATTGATATATTGCCTAAAAATGATCGTAATATCGAATCTCTTCTTCTTCAATCATTGTTCATGGACGGTATTCTTATCGTTGTCAATTATTCGGATCTTAATGAATCCTCAGAATTAAATCAACGCAATTAATTGTCACTTAAATTGAATTCTTGTAATGCACGAAGACATTGAAGAAATATTAATGACATCTTAAACAATAAATATTTATGCATACAGTGATGATTAATATGGAAGAACTCGAACAAATAGATCGAATCTGGTGTCGGTTAGTCACAAGTGACTCGCCGTTCATTCACAAGATTGATATGAGTTCTTCTTGCGTAACTTTATTTGTGGGTTAAAATAAAACAAGTAACTGTCAGCTAGACACAAAGCAAGTCTCATCGGTTTTATGTTAATAATGATAATGTAAACAACAGGAAAGTCGTCCAAAATTGTTAAGGGTCCATGACAGAAAACAATCGTTTTCAACGTTATTTTTATATGTGCCTCTAACTTTTCCATAGACCATCGATTCTTGATGTAGTGAAATCGAAGTAGTATTTAGAGAAATTGACGAAGTAGAAAACTTGTCGATCGGCGTTGATAAGTAAGATCGAGCATTATCCACCAATAAAAAAACTTTTCTTTCTTTTATTCTCTGTGAACTGATGGATATTTTCAGTCTCAAGCTAAACAAAATTTTTCTTCAAAACTTTACTTCTAATCATTAGTGCAAAGCAAATTACAAAAAAACTGAATAAAACAATTTTATTCGTTCATATCAAATCAAAATATCTCTGTTTTTCTTCATCCGCTAATCTTAGACGAAATAGTAATATGGTCTGCTCGAGTAGTGACCGCTTGAACGACACGAATAAATTTAAAAAGTGGATGAAGTTGATGAATGTCATCCGTTGATGATTGTTTTTTGAATATGGTATGAATAAAGAAGTTTTCTAATAGCGGTGTACATTTTCTTAAAACATTCGCCAATGATTCTACGGTCATCTGACTTCGTTGAGCAAATGGTGTTTGAATCGATAAATATTTGAGATTCGGCATTACGATGAGTAATGATTCTAACTCTTCACAAGACCAATTATTTATACGTAGATAAAGGTCAAGTCGACAAAGTGTTTGATAAATATTCGAATAATGAAAATTAAAATATTCATCATCGAGCATAACTTTTAAACGAATCAATTCTGGACATATATTGAATAAATAAGAAAGATCTTGACAATTTTTAACATCGATTTGAATCGAACGGAGTTTACATGATAATACAGACCATTGACAATCAAATTGAATATTATTCAAAATACACGTATGTAAATAAGAAAATTCACCGGAGAATATTGAATGGCATAATTCATAGAAAGCATTGCCTGGCAATCTTGTGTTATTATTATTAATACGTAAACATTCAAGCTGAGGGATTGTATGTGGCCGAATTTCATTTAATTGTTTTATTGTGGGATGTTCAAGTTCAAGAGAACGAATGTTTGAAAAAAGAATAAGATTTAATGAATTGCTATGCCATATCGATAGTTTCCTAATGCGATTAGCAAAAAAAATGACAGATGGATCATGAATTTCATTAGGTCGTACATATTGAAGAGCAAGTCGCGGTTGAATTGAATCAAGAATTGAATTAATACGATGATTAAGTCTAGAAAAACTTCTATATAACTTTTTCATTGGTATGTATTCAAATATTTCGAAAAAGATTTCATCAGGTAAATGTTCCAATGTAGTTGGCATTGTTATTGTTATGTTTTGTTTTTTATAACAAATTCTGAAGGATTTTTGTAGTATTTATAGTTTTGATAATTGAGCGTTTGGGAAAAAATCCCGCACATCTTGATTTCCAATGGAAACATGGTCAGATTGTGTAAAAAATTCCAAGTAAGTGACATCAAATCGAAAAATTCTCAGAATGGGATTTATTTTTCTGACATCATGTTGTATTTATTTATGCGTTTGAAATAATTTGATTTCTTTTCTTTTCTTCTTGTTCTGTTGGCAATGCTCACTGACAAAGAAAGCTAATATAAGGAATCGAAAGAGAGCAATATTTCAAAATGACTCACCGCTAATGACTATATGTTACTGTTAGAAATTTACCCAATCGATTTAACATATAATGTATTGATATCTTTCCTATGTTCTCACGTATTTCGTATTGGTTAGTTCTCTTAATTCGTTTCTTCGACTAAAGATGAGATCAAAATGAA